AGGCAACCACTGAAAATGTTCATCTGAAGATATTTTCAGTTGCTGGAGGCATTGTTACTTCAGATTTTTACATATATGAAAATATAAAATGATGTATCTTGGAATCTATGACATTAGGTTCTCTGAGCACTGTAATGAGCGGATGTCTTTAACCCATGACCACATACTGAGAGCCAGAGGCTGTGCAGGATGACGACACTGCCCAGATAAGCTGCTCTGGGCTGTGCAGGTCCAGGGTTCAAGCCCCGTCTTCTGAGATCCAGGACCGCTGCGCATGTGAGCACACCACGTGGTTTCTGCTAACCAAATGCAATGAAATCACGGACTTTTCCAGTCCTTCAGTGGGCTGATCTGCATGAGAGTGAGAGACAGTCTCATCACCAAAAGCCCTTCCAGAAAGTCTCCCAGATCTGTGCTGGTCTCTGAATGTGTGTGTGGTCTAGGCGAGGAAATCAGGGAGCTGGGACATGCCAGCAGCAGTCCTAGAGTTCTGTAATACAATTTGGAGTTAGGATATAAGCTCTGCACATCTCTTGTTCCTTTCTGGGGTGCTTAGCGGGGTGCCTGGCACAGAATAAGAATTGGTAAATATTTGCACCAGGATCAAGGAGGGCTTCGTGGAGGTTGGAGCAACTCTGTTTGAGGCAGGATCAAAAAAAGCCAGTGTTCAGGCAGCATCTGAGCTCATGGTGACTGGGTGGGGGTAAAAGCTTTCACCCTTCGGTGCTGGTTTGTTTTGACTTGGCCTTGGGTAAGGGCCAGCTCGCCACCACCCGTGCAGGGAGGCAGTGAGCCCAGTGGAGTGGGCACAACTCTGGTCCACAGGCCCAGGTCAGAATTCTGTGTCTGCCATTCTGCTGTGTGATCTTAGGTGTGTTCCCTAACCTCTATAAGCCTCAGTATTTTAATAAAGAAGCTGGGTATAATAGTGGTGTTCCTATTCATCTGCTGCAAAAAACTAAATAAGTAAATTTGCATATGGTTTACTGGCATATAGTCAACATTTAAGAAGTGGTATTTGTTATACCTGGAGTGGATTTTAAATGTAGAGATCTCTCTAAAACATACATTGCCATTCCCTCAAGGGCTTGGAAATTTCTGCTAGCTACGTAGTTAGCGCACGGTGGTGGGACCAGGATGTGAATAACCCACAGTGCCTGGAGCTAGTCATGTATTCAGTACTGTCTTGGATCACACTGTTCCTCCCACCTAGAATTTCATCGTGCCTGTTCTAAACCCCTGGTTTAAGGATTCACTCAGGTCTCAGCACCTTCAGGAAGCCTTAGCTGATTACCCTGATCAGGACTCCAATTGCTGAGATTTTTCTCCTCCTTTTATTATCATCATGCTTTAACCAACTGAACTAAACAGTCATTAGTTTCTCCTATTTCTATACTTATTCTTTTTTTTTTTTTCCGTACCGGAAATTGAACTCACAACCTTGCGCTTGCCAGGCAGGTGCTGTGCCGCTGAGCTAAATCCCCAGCCCCAGTTTCTCCTATTTCTAAACCCCTTATACTGTTAGTTTTAATCACACAATCTTACAACTGAGAGTGCAGAGCTCTGTGCTGTTTTCTGTTTTGCGTATCTGTGTCTGGATGCTTATTTTGCACCAATGTTTCTTTCTTTCTTTTTTTTTTTTTTTTGTCTTTTTTTGAGACAGGGTCTCACTATGCAGTTCAGGCTCACTTTATAGCCCAGGCTGGCCTCAAACTTGCAATGATTCTCCTGCCTCAGCCTCCCGAGTGCTGGGATTACAGGCGTGCGCCACTACACCCGCCTGCACGTGTTTAAAAGCAGAAATGTTGTCACGTGCTTCTTTATGCTTTGAGTTGCATCCTTAGGATGGCATTCAGTAGAAGGTAAGAGGTCATTTAACAGGCAAGACTCTGTAGAAGGAACCAACAGCAGTCCCGGTGGTCCTCACACTGTGGAGAGAGCTAATGACCGAGGGAAAGTATCTGTGTGTTGGTGTGTGGTAGGTGCTGCTTTGTCTTTCTGCTTGCACAAGCGTCTGTCTGTCCTCTAGGAACACCCAAAGCTGCTATTGCCTTGATTCCTCTCTCCTTGCAGAAAGGCCCTCTGGTGGGTGAGCCCCCGGTGCCTTTCCCTAGCTGGCTCCCTTCTGTCCGTGCTCTGGCCATCCTCCCGCCGGCCGGCACTGTCCTTCGGCCATTCGCCTTTGGCAGTGATGTGCGAGGCTCCTGGGAGTATGATTGCAGTGGCTTTTCATCAGCCTGCATTTCTCACTTCTGGGCTGCTGTGGGCTGTCCTTGGGCTCTTCCCCTGGGAGCTGTCCTTTCTGTCCCACACTAAAAGGGTACCCTGGCTACCCCCTGCTCCTTACAACCCACCCTACAAAGGCAGGGCCAGTGCACTCAGGGCTGCAGGTGAAGCTCACGTCACCCCAGATTCCTCCAGATGGGTGCAGTCTCCTGACAGCACATCTGACCTGCTCTTTGGTACACTTCTGTTGGAATGATTCATAAGACATGCTTCCTGTCAACAAAAACAAACACCCAGAGAGAAGCCCCAGGGCCCTCGGTGACTGCACAATTCTTAAATTGAACTGGAAGAGAAAATCCATTGCACAAAAGGCTTTGCAGGGGAGGAAGGAAGGAGAAAAGCCAGAGTAAACAAAGGAGGGTCCAACAAGCCAGGCCTGGCGGAGGAACGCACACTCAGGAGGGCCAGCTCATGCCCACCTCTGCTGGAACAGAAGCTCCTGGCACACTGGCTGCTCCTCCCCCACAGTGACCATGTAAGCCAGCGCTAGGCATGGCCCTTTCTTGTTCAGAGGCACATCTGGCCTCTGATGTGACTTTTTTGCATAACTACTTAGCCCTGGGTGAAGGGTTTTAGGTCACACACACCCTGATGTCATCCTGAAATGAGAAGATTATGGGCTTTGGAGTCAGCATGCTTTGCAGCTTGCTAGCTTCATGGCTTTAGGCAAATTTCTTCACCTCACTTAATCTTAGTTTTTTCATCTGTAAAATGGGGGCATAAACCTACCTGGAAGATTGCTGTGAAGATTAACATGATATGTGTACAGCATTGAATAAAACAAATAATCCAGGAGCTAATCATATTTAATTAAATATCTTCATGTCTCAAACAAGCCTCTGTTTCTAGTCAAAGGAAGCTAAGTAGAACTCAGGCCTTCCTCAGAGGACATATGCAGCTCCTTGGGGACTGAGAAAGCATCTGATTAACTGGATCTGTACAACAGCCCCCCTACCAACTTGAGGTTCTGTGTCTCTTATGTGGTAGAATCTTATCCCCAGCCCATGGATTAGACGCTCAGCACATTTATCAAGACCAAAAGGTGATGCCCTGAACAAGACTTACTTCTGTATGAGTTTGCCCACATTGGGTCCTCCAGGACAGCAGAGTGAAGTAGGCAGCAGAGTTTTATCTGCCTTTTGCAAAGCTAAAAATAACTTGCTCAAAGTTGCATGCCTACCTAGCAAGTAGAGGCCTGGGGGAAGAGCCTAGGTCTTCTGACTCCTTCTAGGAATTTTCATCTGGAAAAGAAGTAGGGTGCTTTGTGAGCTCCACAGGTCCTGATGGAGTCCAGTGGCTGTGGATCAGCCCACTTAAAGTCTCTCTGGAGTCCAAATATGTCCTGCGCTGCTGGGGAGTAGAAGTTGGTCCATTTTTCTGGACTATAATTTTGCACTATATATTAAAAATAGCTATAGGCTTTGACCAATTTCACTTTGAGGAGAATGTCTTAAAGAAACAATCAGAAATGT